TGTAACACTTCTTTAACAACTTTTAAGAACATTGTCAAAATGTTCATAATTAACAAACACAAAAACTAAATAACAATACATGTCCTAGGATCAATCTAGTCGATCTTGTAAGTAACCAAAGATTTAACAAATTTAGAAGACTAGCGGTTGTTTACCAATTGTGACGGTAAACAATATGTTAATGATTCTTGAGCAATAAGATATGTATATGTTTATGAAATTCATATACCTTGAATCTTTAAAGACATTAACAACACATCATGAATAGATCCTCTTAAAATCTTTGTTTTGATATGCAAGACCTTTGATCATTTGTCTTCATCAAAATTAGCTTGGAAGCTTGACTTCACATTCTCCCCCTTTTTGGTGATGACAAACATTCTTTTTGATGCTTTGTAATTTCCGGAACACTTCTCCCCCTAAGATGTATAACTCCCCCTTTGTATATGAAACTTAGAAATATTTAGAGTTGATCATCTTAATGGAGTAATTATACTTTTAAAAGTTTAAGACAAGGAAATACACAAGCAAGACATCTTTCTCCCCCTTTGACATTATCAAAAAGAAGGAAAAGATGGGTGAAAGATAATAAATTGACTAGTATATCACAAGATAAATCAAAGTATTCATTCATTCATTCATCACAAATAAACCATAAGTTTTACCCTATGTGCGGCCTCATCTTCAATCAAAAATTCATATTTGGTGAAGTTGATCTTGAATCCTTTTGTCACAAAGTTGGTTGATACTTAGAAGATTATGCTTTAGTCCATCAACATAAAAAACATCTTCAATGGATGTGAAAGATGGTGCTCCAACTTTGTCTATGCCAATAATTTTTCCTTTGTTGTTGTCTTCATAAGTGACATATCCCTTGGCCTTAAGCACTAGATTTGAAAATTTGTTAATATCTTTGGCCATTTGTTTAGAACACCCATTATCCACATACCATCAATTTGAAGTGACATTCCAGCAGATCTGCAAAATAGATTAAGTTTTGTTTGGTATCCAAAGTGCTTTGACTCCTTCATAATTAGTATTTTTATTTACTCATACATAATGCACACTTGCCACATTAAAGTTTCTAACATAGCAAACATTAGGTGTATGGCCAACTATACCACAATAAAAATAAGTAGGAACAAAATTACTTTTATATCTTAAAACATAGGTTTTCTTTCGAACATTTCTCGTCCTAGGATGATGAGGCACATTATGAATTTTATTCACTTTTTCCTTAATTGGTTGTTCACCAAACTTGACAAATATTGTTTTTCTAGAACTTGGTTTATCAAATTTAGAATAGCCAAGTCTTTCTTTATTATTAGAAAAAATTTGACGGCTAAGAACACCCTCGAATTCAATTTGTCCTTTTTCATATCTTTCAAGGACTCTTTTTAATTCAACAATTTAGAAGGAAAGTGATTCACACTCTTTGTATGCAAGGCTTTGTTTTTCTTTTTTAAAATAATTTTGTTTCTCAATGTCAAAATCCTTTTGCATGGTGTTAACTTTCTCTTCAAGAGTTGAAATAATTTTCTTTTGAGTGGACACAGTTTTATACAAAGTTTTACATTCATCTAGTAACATTTTTATAGCATTTTAAGCGTTATCATCACAACTAGGTGTTTCGGAACGTACCTCTTCTTCTTCATCATTAGATTGGTGTGTTGCTATAAGGGATCGGTTCCTTGTATCGAAAGTTTTCCTGACATAGTGGTTAGGTGGAGTGTCCCGTTGTAGTGTCAATGACGAGTAAGGGTGTCTATCAAACAGCGGTACAAGCATGTGGATGAAAGAGTTTCCACTTGAGGGGGAGCATAGTAGATGGACTCACGCTTGAGGGGGAGATTATTGTGAAACACTTTGTGTTGAGAAACAATTGTGAGTTCTAAGTCTCACATTGCTTAGAAAATTAGAGGTTGAGCACTTTATAAATGAGAGGACCCATGCATATATCGCCTTAAGATCTTTGATGAATATGTGGTGTCTTTCTCACTTGTTTGGATGAATCTTTAACTTTTAGGTGAATGTTTGATCCAATATAACCATCAATTTTTTTTATATACAAATTTCTAAAATACTTATATACATTAAAGAACTACGTAGATCTATGTATACAATTTTTTTTTAGGTCATGATGTTACTGATACCCTATCATTCATAACTTATAACTACCAATGATTCATTCTCATATACATCAATTTCAATTAGTAGAAATCTTCAAATCAATAGTAAAAAACAAAAGTTAAACTATATACGAGATGCTGAAAACATGTTTGCACATTTTCGAGAAGGAAGAGAACGTGAAAAGGCTTCCATTTCACATCACCATTATTTTTGAATCAAAGTTTGAAAGCTACTAAACATTTCAAGTTTCCAAATGATTGTGACAAAATTCATTACCATTGCTCCCTAAACTTTAAACAAGGTCATGTTATAAATTTCTACCGTGTTATAGATTAATCTAGTGCCATGTATATTCAACATCCCAACTGTGACAAATAATAGAGAACATATCATGAACATACAAAATAGCCAAAATAATTCATCACATTGTTCATTATAATTGAGCTATGATCGAATGACTAAGCAAAATTAAAAGCCAATGAAAAATGGAAATGAAAATTTGTACTGTCAATTTTGGAAAACCGCACACATACTCATAACCATCGCAATAGAATGGGAACACGGATCAGATGCATCGAGTATATCCGTTTAAGATGGGTTAAAATTTTAGTATCCTTTAATATGTCCGTCCGACTCTATTTTTTTAACCGCATAGACATTAATATTTTTATTTTTTTTTGCAATTTATATAAATTTTTTCACACATTGGTGAGACTATATGTTATGGGACCCATATTTGAGATACGTCCTATTATACTTTAATCCAATAACTGAAAAGACAAAATAGTGCCAAATCACTTGTCTGCAGAAACACTATTCAAATCAAAAGGGTTTTTAACACAAATATTCTAGATATGATTTGTTTATAAAATTCTTAGAATTTTAAATTTATGAGTCTAAAGAAAATAAAGAAGTTATATATAATTTGAAAGTCGGCTTTAGAATTTGAGGGGTTCATGTGCCCACGTTAGGTGATGTCCAAGAAACAGACCAATCAACATCACTTTTTGATGTTGCTGAGGTTTGCTTGTCCCCTCTTTAGTATAGAAGGGAAATTGAAGATTAACAAAAGATAAGAGAAAAATTTAATAGTTAAACCATAAATGAATGATAAAGGAAACTTTGAAAAAGGGATTGAAATAACACTATTCTAATGGTTATTTAGCAAAAGAGTATAAAGGGGCATGTAAATTTAGAGTTGGTAAATTGACATATCTATTTTAAAAAATGCACAATTAAATATAATTAAAAATAAAATAGTTGAGATTGCAAACCTAAAACATTGATTTGATCGGTAAAAATGAGGATAATGCATGGCAAATACATGGATTTTGCATCTTAAAAATAAAAATTTACAAATTATTTTATCAATAACCACGCGTATAAAATCTCGCAAAATAAAAACAGAACAGAACAAATATATTAAAGAATGTGGACATAAAATCTAAATTCACATGCCTTTTTTTTATTAAATGGACATATTTGGTGGATCTAATCCGTTTCGCCAACTCTAATAAATAGTTAATGCATTTTATCCAAACAATATTGTTTGCTTAAACATCTTATTAACGATAAATGTATTTTATTTTTTTTAAAAATGATTTTTTAATAAAAAAATATTAAAATTTTTTTTATAAAAGTTTTAAATAAAAATTTGATTTGAGTAATTATTTTTAAAATGTTATTTTAGATATTTCATTATTATATTATTTTTTTAATATCAAAATTTTAAAAAATTAATATTTTAAATAATTTTTTACAAAAATTATTTTTGAGATATATTTAAAAAAAATGCGATTTCGACTATATGTTTATTCTTCATGTATGTTTATATTATAGGATGTCAAAATTAATCTTTTAATTTAGAAAAACGAATATAAATAATTTTTTAATATTTTAAAAAATGATTTTATAAAATTCATTTTTAAAAATAAAAATAAAAAATCATTTATTAAAGCTGAAACTAAAATGTACTTTATAAAGTGTTAATTAAAATGTAACTTAAAGATTAATCTTGGATATGTTATAATAGTGACATTGGTGGATTCCACCTTCAAAAAATGGAGAACATTTCTTAAAAACCAATAAGGTGGGTGATGTATTGTGTAAGGCAAATACAGAGAGATGACTACTCTCAATACTTTATGATGCACATGGCAGATAAGCCTGGTCCTTAAATAGTAACACCTTTTCTTCTTTTCATCAATGAGATTAAAAATTAGGAAATTTTATTTTTTTGCCTTTCCTTATGTCTAACTTTTATGTCTAAACTTATCAAAGTAAAAAGAAGTTTTGTGTAAAAGAAGTTTAAAATCCAAACCCTAAAAACTAAAGTAAATCTTAACTTAGTTATACTCGAGAAATAAAATAGAAACAAAAGTGAGATTAAGTTCACATAATCAATAATATACAACTATATTATATACTTGATAATTGATAAGAAAGACAATTAAAATAAAACTAAAGTTTAAGCTTTGCAACATCTTGCATTGAAAGAATAGAATGAGGTGGCTTTTGTCCCCTATCTACCTAAATAGGTTAAGTTTTGTGTCACCTCCACATGCTAATAGTTAGAATGTGACATAATGGTAGGGTAAGTGCCTATAGCCACTTGATAAAGACATTCAATAATCTTCCATTCTTCAACTTGAATTCCTTTCTTTGTATGCCCAATTGTTTGGAAAGTGTGTTGGTCCTATTTTTGTGCAAAATAGGGTAACTTTGAATAATGTTGATACTTGAGATTCTCCAAGTGCCTTTGCTTCAATTAGGTCTCTTTTTTGGCCACTTTGAAACTTGAAAGAAGTAAAATCCCAATTTGTAGTACTTAGTGTATAGACATGAATCCAACAATGAAGGAAGAGTCTTCTTCACACATAAAGAATTGAAATTAAGACATATAGAAACATCCAATACACCAAGTTTTTGTGTCCCTTTGGTGCTACCTGTTTCACATGAAATTTAATTAAGTCATTAATTAATCAATATTTATAACTAATATTTTCCTATTAAAAAATTATAATATTTACAAACATTTACATCACAATATTTCAATAATGGATTGGGCCCATTATGATTTATGGATCTTATTCTTTAAACAGTTTTACATAAAGTTTTATGAAAACTATGTGTACATGCATGCATGTTGCCTTGCATAATAAACATAACTTGTTAACTAATATATATATATATATATATATATATATATATATATATATATATATATATATATATATATATATATATATATATATATATATATATATATATATATATATTCGAAATTTTGATAAATCTAAATACATCATGTGCACGTGTTGTTATACTTAATTATCAAATTGTCTGAAAATAATAGACATTCTTGGAATCTGATAAATGTGTATACATCACGTCCATGATACGTGTTGTTATACTTGTCGGGTTGTCGGAAAGTCTGAGGATGCTGGACTCTCCGACAACACTAGCATGCAGACATGTTTGTGTATAGATTATGGTTTTACCTTAATTTTGGTGGCAGAGGAAGCAAGAGAAAATGAAGTGGAAGCTGATGATTTTGGAGTTGCAAGAGTAGAAAACCCAACATTATAAGTCACAGATTCATCCGGTCTAAAAAGACCATAGTTTCTTTCTGAAGTTGGACCAGGTTTCAAATCTTCATTAAACAATGCAAACAAATAAACCTCCAACCTCATCCTAGGATTCAGAGGTGTCCCTTGATTCACCATTTGTCTCTTCAACAAGTTCCTATTATAAGTCGCGGCATTCACCGGAGAAGCACCGACCTCATTTGCGTCGCCTCTCGAAGGCCAACCCGTCTCGGAAACCCTAACTTCAATCCCTTTAAATCCCATCTTAGCAATGGAGAATGAAACAGCATCAGCCATAGCATAAAGCATGTTGTCATAATGAAGATTTGTGTTAGGATCAACCATTCCTGCATTAGGGTTAAACAAAACATAGTCCAAAGGTATTGAATTTGGATCATCTTTGTAAGCAAAGTAAGGATAAGCATTGATCCAAAAAGGCGCTTTCGTGGTCGCTAAAAAATTCAAAAATTGATACATCATACTCGAAATTTCGCCTTTAAAACTCCCGGCCGAAGGCGGGTAAGAATTTTCCAACACGGCCAACGAACTAGGCGTCGAAACCCAAATATTCGAGTAGCCTAATTGAGCTAAAGCATTGTAGATATTAATCACGGCCGGAACAAGATGTTGAAGAAGAGTTGTATCGTCGTCGGTGAAAACCTCGTTACCTACTTGAATTCCGGTGATTTTCGTGTTCGGTAAGAACGGTATCACGCGGCTATTAACCCATTGAAGTGCTTGTTGTGGATCATCTAATTGGTTAAGTATTTCATTCTCAACCGTCACAATTATCTCAATATTTGATTTTGAAAATGTGGTAAGAATTTGAGGATTTGTGTCGTAGATTCTTGTTTTTGTGAGGTTTAAGGTACTCAATAGTACAAGAACTTTTTCAGGTTGTGGCAAATTGTTAGCAACTTGACCATAGTTGATTCCAAAGCAATATCCAACATCTACAATTTCAATTCCACATGAATCAATGAAATAGTTAGTACTAAAACTAAACATTGAGAAAATTTAAGAAAGAAAAAAAAGACAAGAACATAATAATACAATACCTGGTGAGAGAGAACATGCTAGAAAAACAAACAACGTTGTTAAGATGAATGATGTTGTCATGTTGAGGAAGGAAAAGAAAAGATTCTAGGATTCTTAATGGTAGGGGAATATATAGATATAGATGGTATTATAATTCCTTTCTTTTCTTGTTTGAATTAATATTTTTGGAGGCAGAGATAAATGAAATAAGAGGATTTGTGTTTGGTTCCTTTAAGGTTATATTTATATATAAAACATACTTGGATTCTTTTGAACTAGGTTGTCTCTTTCCAACCCATGTCAACTTCCAATTATGTTTTTGACCTTAATACCCTTTTATTAGTTAGCAACTTTCTTTCAAGAAAAGCAATGAGAAATCATGTTTGTTTTTTGGTTAAATATTATACAACCTTTGAGGCAAGTTATTCATTGTAGGATCCCATAATTTGAGGTAAGATTAATTTTTAGTCCACCTTAATCATTGGAGATTCCTTATTACATTCTCTCTTTTCTTTCTATAATGTTTTCTTAATCATATTATAGGTGGAAATATTTGTAATAATTAATCTTTTCTGAAAATCTAATTAATCAATTTTTTTTTTAAAATTTAGAAATCACCTTAACTGACTTAAAATTTAGAAATCACTTTATGTATTTTAGCGCATCAAATACTTTAAATCAATTTTTTTTTATTCTGTGTGACACACTAATCATTTGAATTAGAGAAGACTACAATAGACGGTAAATATTTTATTAAAGTATGATATATGATTGTAAACTTGTTTTAAATTAATAATGGTGTAAAATTATTTGTTAAGCTAAGCCAATCTTTTGGTGGCACTATCCATACGGCGCCGTTTAGATAAGGTGTTATTTTTATTTGTAGCTCTGCTGGAACACAAACTTTTTGACTTGGAGATGCTTTCCATATAATAAACTAAAAAAATTTATCTTCAATTTTATTAATTTTATGCTGCATGGGTTCTTTTTTGTTCGTGGTGGTGGTGGTAAAGAGTCACTTTTCCAAGTAAAATGTATCTTTTCATCAAAAGCACCATCTCTGACTTATACATGTTTTAGGCAAAAAAAAATTTCTCAAATTTTTTTCCTAATTTTAGCAAAATCACATATTGTTAATAGTTATAAAAATTGTGTCTTGGATTGATTTTTTTAAAGTTATAAATACTAACTAGTTATATATACTAATACATAACTATCAATTTAGATGCAGACAGAAATTAAAACTGAATCCTACATCTACCATTTATATTATTTAATTCAATTAGTACACATTAGTTAAATTATAGAAAAATAAAAAAAGAGATTTTTTTTATGGAAGAAGAAAATAGAAAAGAAAAGATTACAAATTAAAACTTTCAATCGTATATACAAACATTCGTTGACATAAGTGTCAATCATGCGACTTTTTCTTCACTAATACTCCAACTCACTAAAAGTATATTAAACAAGAAATCTCTAATAAGATCATGCCCATATTTAAATCCTAGAAGCTCCCTAGAATGAACTGCATGTTTCTTAAATGTATCAAAGTATGTCTTAAGAAAAACATGTCAAATCTCATCAACACGAAATAAGGGAATCAATAGGCAATATCTAAAAATAGTACGGCACTCTACTAGTAACATATGTTGGCATAATTTAATAGAAATAACTAAAAAAAAATCATGAGCGTGTGATGTTTGCAAACAACCAAAAACTACTTTCTATCGTGATGTCATGTCAAACTTTACTTCTATGTCCTGAACATTTACTAAAAATAATACCAGCTAAAATATGTTGGAATTTAGGGGGAAGGTGTCATTGCTACTAAAACTGCTAAGGTCAGAATTTGAAATCGTACCACTAAGACCATTCAAAATTTTGTCAAAATCAAACTTCATACTATTTATTCTATTGTCTCTTAGTATATGATCTTGTTACACTTAAAATTGAACTTTGAAGCCACAAAAGCGTAAGAGACAACCTCTACTGAAAAAACAAATCATTTGTCCAACTCTAATAGGTAATGAAGTCACTTTCTATTGAAGGTCACCAAAGAAAGGATATCTACCAATCACATTAATGTTTCCAACCGCCTTTCACAGTTCTTTATCAAACCAAATTGTTGTTTATTTCATGTAAATCAACTTACATGTTCTTAGGTCAAAATAAAATTTGACAATACTCATGCATGATTAGAGTAAAAGATAACCGTTGTGTGGATTCCTAAATATATTATTTAATAAATATGTTTAGCTGAATAATTTTTAACTCAATTAAATAAGATGATAGCATATTTTTATCATATAAGTAAACAATTTTATGATTACAATTCATTTAATTATAATTTTGATCTCCATTTTATATTTTTTGTACGCAAAATGATTTAAATGGAACAAGGGTGGGAAGATAATCAAAACAAAAAATATATAAGAAAGAACGCTCAAAGAAAACCACCCCAAACTCGAAGCCGGCGTGACACACCACTCCGACCAAGATAAATTACTACCCGAATTTAGAATCGTAATAAACAATTCCCCGACAAAAGTTTGATCATCCTCAACCCATCAAAGTTAACCAACGAACCACCATAAAAAAGGATCAAGTTTCTACAAGCCCAAATAGTACAACAAATAGCTAAACCGAAAATTCATTCCGAATCCACCTTGATTCTCGATTTTACAGACACCTCTAACGCTTGAATACAATCGATAGGAGAAATCGACACTATTGGCTTATCTAGTTGAAGTCAATCACACGTATGATTCCACCAAACCTCCGTAACTGGACAACCAGCAAAAAGATGATTTGAATCCCCCCCCCCCCCCCCCACAACACAAAAGACACACCAAGTTGTGGATAACACATAAAATACCATCTCTCGCCAAATTCACTCTAGTAGGAAGACGATTCAAAACCAATCTCCAACCAAAAATTAAAAATTTACTCTGAGCTTTTGTCATCCAAATTCTCTTTAAAGCCCCTCTCCCCCCGAGACAACCCCATCTAAAACCGCATTCTGATTACACATATCCGCAATCCTGTCATAACAATATTTCATCAAAAAATCGGTAGAATTTCTCCATCATACAACAATCGGGATGCCACCAATTGAGCTGGAACGACTGCAGAAGTAGCAGCAGAACTAACAGAAGTACAACCTCATGTTACTGGCGGACCAGCCTGCAATGTGATACACTAGCTCCAACCATTGATCTCCCAAATGTTGTTATTCACAACACACATGTTGTCCGACACTGCAACCTTATAAATTCAAATTATTTTACATAACTATTATTTATGTTGTTGTGAATCAGATGTCTTGAAACAAAATATAAACGGTTTTTTTATGATCAAGAAACACACAAGGGTTAGGGTTAACAAAGATAACAAGATAAAATAACAAGGAACAACAAGGATTGGTTATAAACTGCTATTCTTTCCTTACTCTTAGAACAATATTACAAGTATACAAGAATAACAAAATAACCTGTCTCTCTTGAAATTAGGATTTTATCTTCCTATTTTTCCTTATGCCAAGATTGAAAAACTAGCATCCTATTTATAAGAAAAATAGCACACTAACCTAATGGGCTTTTTAACAATTACCCATTACAAGATAACCTAGGGTGCAAGCTAACTTAAGCATTTGGGCTTACAAGTAAGACCCAATTCAACATGCCGACAACCCTAGCAATATTGAATAATGCATGTTAAAACAAACTTCAACTACAACACGCATTACTCTGACAGTAGCATGCGAACATACTTCGACCTCATGCTTAATTCCTGTCGAACCAGAAGCTACCCTTTGACCATACTAGAGTTCGATCCAACATCTCACAAATCTTCATCTTAGATATAACTCTATAACATCAAGAAACTAACTTTCTTCATGCAGCTTTATCAACTGCATACAGTGGAAAAACTTGCAACTGGACAACGTCTTGGTGATCATATCAGCAGCATTATGATCTGGCGAAACCTTCAGCACTTGGACTTCTCCATGCTCGATTACCCCTCTAACGAAATGCAGCCTCACATCAATGTGCTTGGTTCACTCGTGATAGGTTGAATTCTGAGACAAGTGTTTTGCACTTTGACTATCACATTTAACAGCGATAACTCGACCTTGAAGTTTTAGCTTCTTTGCAAAACCTTCAAGCCACAATGCTTCCTTCACAACTTCAGTTAGGGCAATATATTCCACTTCACTAGTTGATAAGGCAAAAACCTTCTAAAGTATTACTTTCCAACTGATTGATGTCCCAAACATAATGAACACATATCCAGAAATAGATTTTCTGGAATCCATACAACCTGCATAATTAGAGTTAACATGTCTTTCGATTGCTGCTTTACTATCTTCAGCCAAGGCTCCACTTCAATGCTTGCTAGTGAGCCTTTCCAGGATTCGCCATGTACCTGCTTACAAGACTTACTACATATGATATGTCAGGTCTAGTACAAACCATAACATACATCAAAGAACCTACTATGTTAGCATATGGAATTCTATTAATATAAGTTCTTTCAACATCAGTGTTGGGACACTGATATATACTCATCTTGAACTGAGGGTTTTTCGGAGTCACAACAGGCTTTGAATTCGACATACCAAACTTTTCAAGAATCTTCTGTAGGTATGCCTCTTTAGATAAACATAATTTCGACTGTTTTCTATCTCTTCGAATGTCAATCCCAAGAATCTTGGACGTAGCTCCCAGATCCTTCATGTCAAACTCCTAATTGAGTTCAGCCTTCACCCTCATTACATCTTCGAAATTGTTGCTTGCTATTAGAATATTACCCACATAGAGCAAAAAAATAACAAATGAATTACCCGGTCGAAATCTGAAGTAAACACAGTGGTCGAATTGACTTCCGATGAAACTTATGCGTGCCATGAACTTGTCGAATCTCCTATTCCACTGTCGAGGAGATTATTTCAGTCCATATAGAGAACTTTTTAGTTTGCACATATAATCTTCCTTCCCCCTTTCGACATACCCTTTAGGTTTCCTCACCAGGATTGTTTCATCTAAATCACCATACAAGAATACAGTCTTCACATCCATCTG